AGAGAACTGGGCAATTGGGAGCATAGAAGGAATAAAGGAGACAACATTTGTATTACACTCAACAATAAAGTAAAACAAAAATGGTTGACACCCTGTTCTAGTAAAAATGGTATAAGATTGAGTGTAATCATCACTAATTATAAAAAATTGTTTGTAGTAGATACAGATGGATTAAATAGAATATATGTGTTAATAACCATATTTTAACTCATTACTAATATCAGATATGTAGGTTATCTTGCTTTTAGGATAAACATTATACTGTCTTCACTAAGAATAGCTAGAACTTGCTCTAATATGGAAACTCAATGTACTATATTTATGTAATATCCAAATATGACAAACATTCCTAACAAGTATCAAGTTGTCTTATGAGAAGTGGTCTGATGACTATAAAGACAAGAGTAACCATGGAACCTTTTAGTTCTATATTTCCTCTTCACTTTATGAATACTTCACAATTTATTTAATGAGCCACCACTGAGAGAGAGAGAGAGAGCCATACAATTTTTAGAGTAAGTCTGAGTCCTTAAAAAATCCAACTGATATGCTGATTGGCTGCATTTAATTTATTGACCGAACTGAGGAGAACTGACTCATTTTTTATGTCCAAAACACTATGTTTTAGCCAAAACCAGTTTGGCTCAGTGGATAGAGCGTCGGCCTGCGGACTGAAAGGTCCCGGTTTCGATTCCGGTCAAGGTCATGTGCCTGGGTTGCGGGCACATCCCCAGTGGGAGATTTGCAGGAGGCAGCTGGTCGATGTTTCTCTCTCATTGATGTTTCTAACTCTCTATCTCTCTCCTTTCCTCTCTGTAAAAGCTCAATAAAATATATTTAAAAAAAAAACACAAAAAACAAAGAACATCATTCAATCATATTGTTGATCGCCAGGGTGTTAAGTTTGACAAGTCATTCAAAATTACATCCAGAAATTTGTCTTGTGCTTTCTCTGCTAATTCTTTTGGATATTCTGAATGTAATACCTCAAAATTCAGTAGGGAATGTTTCCTGTAGTCAATGAGCTTAGTATGTGGAAAAGTCAACACGGTTACTTCATGTCCTTTCTTTGTGAGTTCCTCTAGAATAGTCTTTATATTAAGCCAATGGCTCATGTCAACCGGCCATACCAGAACCTTTCCACAGAATCCACAGCCAGCAGTACAGAGCTGTAGCAGCAGAACCGCCAAAGCCCACTTCTTGGATAACATGACAGCAGCTCCGTCACACACTGCTCTGCAGAGGTTTTAGGGTGTTTCTGCCTAGTGCAGATGGCAATAAAAACATAATAAGTTAAAAATTAACTTTAAAAGGAAACATTTTTGCATTATAAGCAAGGTTAATGTTTATTGGGGGAATAAAACAGAAATAAAAAAGATATCTGGGAAAAATTATTTTAAAAACCAGATTGGGAATAAGGAAAATAACAAATAGGAACCGCCTAAAGTTAATCTCTCTCTGTCTCCCTCTCTCTCTCTCTCTCTCTCTCTCTCTCTCTCTCTCACACACACACATAAACACACACCAACATCCATTCCACTCTGAGTTTGAGGTGGGCAAGTGGTTTAGGTTAAAACATATTCCACATCATTTTCCCTATGTGAAATAGCAAATAATTTGCTTGGATAAGAGTCTTATGACTAGTACAGGGTGTTCAGAATTACAGAGAAAAAACATAATCCTTTATGGAATAATTGGAAACAACGGTAGTAAAATTGATAACATATGAGGTTAGATGAAAGCCTTGGTAGGATCTAGACAGAGTGTGGCCAAAGGATAGATTTCACAATGAGTAGAGGAATGAGAAACATTCCAGTGTGTATGGATCACACAGAAAGTTGTGGGAAGTAGGTTATTGAAGAAAGTTAGATTGAAATATGAGACAATAGGTAGTGTAGAATGGTTTCAATTTAAATTTATAGGCAAGTGTTATTTACCCAAATTTTAAAGAAGAAAAATCAGAAGATCACATTTTTCCTTTAGCAAATAATTCTGGCAGCTAAACATACAAAAGCAAGAGTTTAAAAGAAGAGAAACTGATTAAAAATGTGTCTTAATAAATTAAACATGAGACTATTATAGCCTGAAACATGGATTAAAACTAGTAAATATGAGTTATATATATAAAAGCCTAAGCAACCAAATGACCAGTCAACTGGTCTCTATGATGTGCATTGACCACGAGCGGACAGACGCTCAATGCACAGGATCAAGCTCTCTCCTGTCTCAATTGGACCTGTGGGGATCAGGCCAAAACTGGCTATCTGATATCCTCTGAGGGGTTCCGGATTGGGAGAGGGCATAGACAGGCTGAGGGACCCCACTGGTGCACAAATCTGTGCACTGGGCCTGTAGTCCTATATAATAAAAGCCTAATATGCTAAGTGTCTGCTCATCTGGTCATCTGTTCAGCCAAGCAAAGTGTAATATGCTAATGATATGGTAAGGCTGCTCAACCGCTAGCTATGACATGCACTGACCACCAGGGGGCAGACAGTTGACCGGTCATCCATCACTGTGACGTGCAATGGTCCAACTGGTAGGTTAGCTTGCTGTTGGGATCTGGTCCATTAGAGTGAGCAAAATAAGTCAGACATGCCCTGGAGCCCTCCCGTGGACCCTCCCCTGGCCAACCTCCTGTGTCCCTCCCCAGCCCCGATGGTGCACTGGTGGTTTCCCTCAGCCTTGCCTGCACCCTCTCGCAATCAACCAAAGGACTTGTATGCATGAATATAAGCATAACCAAAGGACACAGACACTAGCAGGGGTGAGGGCATGTTCTGAGGGTTGGGGTGGCCAGCAAGAGGTCAATGCAGGAAAAAGGAGACATATGTAATCCTTTAAATAAGAAAGAATTAAAAAAAAAGAAAATTTTCTTATGAGCCCCTGTACCATACATGGTTGCACAATATTTATGTTAATAAAATTAAAGAAAAAAATTATATAGAAAAAGTGATTGTCTTAGCCCTGGCCAGTGTGGCTCAGTTGGTTGAGGGTCATCCTGTGCTCTGAAAGGTTGCTATTAGATTCGCTGTCAGGACACATATTCAGGTTGCGGGTTTGGTTCCTGCACAAGAGGCAACTGATCAATGTTTCTCTCTCATATCAATATTTTTCTCTCTCCCTGTCCCATCCTCTTTCTTTGAAATTAATAAAAACATATTTTAAAAATAAATATGAATAAATAAAAATAAAAAAATACAAATAAAGTGATTGGCTTGAAAATACAGTATATGCACACACATTATTTATTTAGACTTTTATCTCTAATATCACATCAGTACATTCAGAATCATACACATTTATTTAAGCACTAAAGAATTAAGTATGCATTTGTTTATACTGTAGAGCTTCAAAATTAACGAATGTAAACAGTGATTTCAACTCTTTAGTCAATCAACCCTACCATACACACGGAAATGCCTTTCCCTAGAATATTCAGTCTAGATTCTACAATTTGGCAAGCTTTTCCCTTATTTCTAGATTTTACAAGTAAATTGTGAGATCTTTGAGAGTATGGCCACTATTGCATTTGGTTGATGTTCAGAGCTTAACAATATTTGTATGTGAAATAAAAATATTTGCCAAAAACATCTGGAAAGCTTTCATAGAGTATGGAAATAGATGTGCTCACTCTTAATTTTGTCTGTAATGGAGAAATATAGTTTTCAAAAAATATAGACTTTTAACTTGATTATCTACCTTTCAACAAGATTTTAGGCCTTTAAAACAGATGATTTGTAAGCACTTGATGAAGCAATATAATCATTAAAAACTTAGAGTTATAGATTTCTATTTGAGACAGATTCATATTTTTCCATTGTCAAAGACTCCTTCAGGTATTATGGCAAAAGAGTTTAATATTTAAATAAGAAAACTGAAGAGAAACAAATAGAAACAATTTCCCCAATGGTCTATAGACATTGTGCTAAAAATATGTAACTCCCCAATTTACATTTGTGCTTTGATGAAAATATTTAGTGAAATTTCTAATGCATTTATTGAAGAAAAAAATTATAGTAAAATTGATATGTAGGTTAAATGGACAGAGCCACTGCTCAGAGGATTTTTAGGGCAGTTAAACTACTCTTTACAATACTATAATGGTGGATACAAACATTATAAATTTGTCCAAAAATCACAGAATATACAATGCCAAGCGTGAACCATATTATAAACTATGGAATTTACATAACAATAATAATTCAGTATATTTTCATCAATTGTAACAAATATACATCTCTGCTGGGGAATGCTGACAATAAGGAAGCAGGGCATATATGGGAAATCTCTACTTAATTTTGCTGTGGACCTAACACTCTTCTAAAAAATGAAGCCTTTTACAAACAAACAAAGAAGAATGGGTATGTGATTGCTGATGGAACTCCTCAGTGCTTCAATTTGGGGTCTCTAACTTCCTGGAGTATCCCATCCTAGTGTACCCTAGGGTTGAAACTAACCTTATAATTTAAGCATTTCTGTAATATAGGGTGTCCCACAAATATAGTCACACTTTGAATCATTATTAACTCCAATGAGATAAATCTGAAAAGAAAGAAACATCAACTGAGCTATCAGAAAAACGTTTGTATACATTTTTTGGGGGGAACACTCTCCCTGCGTTTGTGAGGTTAAAAGATCATTATATATTACTAGAGGCCCAGTGAACGAAATTTGTGCAAGGGGCTTGGCCCTCACAGCCCCAACTTTGTCTGGAAGGTCCTCTGGAAGGACATCTAGAAGGTCATTTGGCTGTCTGGTCTAATTAGCATATTATGCCTTTATTATTAGAGAATATTTAATCATTTCACTTATAAAAGACAAATTCCTCTCAATATTTATACCAACTCATCTTCCAAAGCACTAAGAAAATTAGGACTTCATGCTACCAAGGAAAAACATAGCTTACCTAGTACTTCATTCAGAAACTGATCCCACTTCTTCTGATTATACGTTTGCAGGCAAAAGTCAAAATAGAGCACATAGACCATATTTTTTACCCTCTCCATGAAAGTCATTTGGTCACTTAATTCTGAAAAGACAACAGGTACATAGGATGGAGGGAATGGCAGTCCTCCACTATACTTTTCAATTTTATAGCCAGGAGAGAAGCGGAGACTGTACATAAAAGGTATGTTAAGTAGCTCAGCCAACAGCTGACCACATGCTCCAAAGGCATCTGCAAGAACAACATCAAACCTTGACTCCTGTAGTTTTCTCATAAGTTTCTTATTAAAAACAGCATCTTTACAGAGCTTTTCAACAAAGTCAGAACCTTCCCAAAACATTTCTTCAGTCACTTGATGACCTCTCTGGACAAGTGCATCCAGGATGGTCTTCATGTTGATCCAGTGGCTGTATTCTGTGGGCCACACCAGCACCTTTCCACAACTCCCAGGGCTGAAGTGACCACTCAGCTGTAGCAGCAGCAGAACTGAAATCCACTTCGTAGGCATCCTGGTGGCACACAGGCTTCTTTTCTCTTTTTTAAAAAAATTTACTTTTATTGTTTAAAGTACTACAAATAGTAGTGCATATGTCTCTTCCCTCCCCCACACATTGACCTCCTCCTGGCCTCCCCTACAGCCCGGCACATGCCCTCACCCCCACCCCCAGTGTCTTACATCCATTGGTTATGCTTATATGCATGCATACAAATTGATCTCTTACCTCCTCCCGACCATCCCCTGCCTTCCGGCTGTAGTGTGACCGTCTATTTGATGCTACTATGCCTCTGTATCTATTTTTCTTCATCAGTTTATAATGTTCTTTATATTCCACAAATGAGTAAGATCATGTGGTATTTATCTTTCACTGACTGGCTTATTTCACTTAGCATAATGCTCTCTAGTTCCATCCATGCTGTTGAAAATGGTAAGAATTCCTTCTTTTTTTTTACAGCAGCATAGTATTCCACTGTGTAGATGTACCACAGTTTTATAATCCACTCATCTGCTGATGGACATTTAGGCTGTTTCCAAATCTTAGCTATGATAAGTTGTGCTGCTATGATCATAAGGATTCATAGAACCTTTCTCATTGGTGTTTCTAGGTCAAATGGCAGTTCCATTTTTAATTTTTTTTAGGAAACACCATACTGTTTTCCACAGCATTCCTTTTTCTCTGCATCCTCTCTAGCACTTGTCAAAAACAGTCATAGCATTTGGAGCACAAGTGGAAAAAGCAAAAGGTAGATGAATAAGTAGGCAATGATGGTGACACAAAGACATGTCATACTGTTCTTGTCATAGTTATTATATTCCACATGAAGATACACACACAATATTTACTGATTGATAGATTGATTGATTGAAACTAGCTCATGTTTAATTGTGACATTTTAAAATTGGACAAATGCCCTAGCTGGTTTGGCTCTGTGGATAGAGCATTATCCTGTGGACTAAAGGGTGTCAGGTTTGCTTCAGGTCAAAGACACATGTTCAAGTTATAGGCTTGATCCCCAGTAATGGTTGTGTAGGAGGCTGCCGATCAATATCGTTTCTATCTCTCTTTTTCCCTTCCTCTCTGAAATAAAAACAAAATTGTTTCAAAAAATAAAATTGGACAGTGTTTTGACATCTGCCTCTTCCCCCATTTTTAGTTTCTTTAAAGTTGCAAGAAAAGAGTAACCAATCACAGGTTTAATGGATTTAATAAATTTACCCCTTTGGTTCCTATTTACAGCACCAAATATTCCTTTAAAACCCCAGACAGATTCGATGGTGGCCAACAGTAAGTTTCAGATCTGTCGAGTTTAACAGTTCAGGTTCTCTGAGCATTCTGTATTGCAGTAGCACTCATCCCAAATTGGTACCTCTTATAGTAGGGCAACTTCAAACGTACCAGTTGAAAAAGCCTTTTCCCTTCAAGGGGAAAAAAAGACACTCCTCAAAACACTGAAGATATGGCTATGTGGTCTTTCCTCTTGTTCCATGTCTTCAGGATCTATTCTGTTTTATTTTATGTTTTTGTGGTGGAGCAAGAGACCACAACCTAACCTGAGTGACAAGAAACAAGATAGTAATGGCTACCAAGGCAGTGACCAGGAAAAACTGAGTGCTTCTTTACCTCTCACATCCAATATATGTGCCTCACAGAAAACAACAAAAATAACAGGTCCACAAATTACAACACCTAGAATTGCAGCATCCATTCATCCAAGAGTGGTGGAAGGCAGGACAGTGAGGTGGGATGGAAAATGGCTCAAGGAAAATAAGTATTTAAATCAGTCCATGAGGGTCGACAAATGCTAGTAAAGAGCTGCAGAAGAGCTTGTGGTCCTTTCAGACTTACAGGCTAAAAATCCACATACTGGTGTCAGGAAGATTGTACCTTATGTGCACCAGAGACAAAAAATCCAACTCCTTAGAGGAGAAGATGCAGACGGCCTTCAGCCGAATGGGTCCTGCCTTCCTTGGTCGGGGAGATGAACAAGGAAAGAGCTGAAAAGCCTCTAAACCCACTCATCCCCTCTGGATGGCAGGTAGCTAGGTGTCCTGCAGGCGCCTTCAGTTTGGTAGGCGATGGATGCGGTGAAGGGAACTTCTCTGCAGAGGCTGAGCCATGCGGGGAAGACTGGGGCGAGAGCAACCTGTCCCCGAGCCCCAGGTGAGCTGGGAATGAGGTTGCCCTTGGCCTCCTGTGCTCTGGCCGGGCGGGCGGGCCGCTGCCTCTGCTTTGAGGGCGAGCATGCAGCGTTGGCCCACGGAGCGTGCCACGAGGGAGCCACTGCTAATGTGCCACGAGGCCCCATAACATGCTGGACTGTTAAAGAGTCTAACTCTTGGGCTGCTGACAAAGACAGCAGTATCTTCACAGCTTTCTGGGATTGCCTGTCCTAAGGGTTTTGTGCTCTCTGCATCTCTTAGTTCCAAACGTTTCAAAGGGATGTGTAGGAAATGAGGCACACAACACATGCCCACCCCCACTTGTGGCCTCTAGAGGTGGGGTGACCCAGAATCTGGAAATTGCTTATTCTGATTTAGTCGGTGACAGACATTTTCTCTCCTGTGCTCAGCAACTGCAGGAAGTGGCTGAGAACCAGGGAAGGCTTTGCTCCAAGGTTTGCAATTCTGAAGGCATCCAAGGGCAACAGGCTGCCAGTGTACGAGAGGCCCAGCCCTGCAGAGATCTTCAACACTTTCGGCCTCTGCAGGCAGCCAGGACCCCGGTTAGGACCCAGCACCATGCCATCCGTGCAGCTGGAGGGAGCAGAGCGAAGACCCAGCCATGGCAAGGCCCAGTGTCATGGTGGTAGATTGTGTTTTGGCCCTTGAAACATGTGACTCTGGCCAACAGGAGAGGCTGGTGGGCCAGCACCAACCCTGAGGGAGGCATCTTGACCAGGTAGCAAATGGGCACGTTGACTGAGCAATAGGCAGCTGGCCAGGGAGCAACCTGGGTCTAGAGGGCGTGGCTGACTTCAGGGGGGAGCATGGGGCAGGAGCTCCAGGCAGAACCAAGCAGGCACAAGAGCAGGTGCTGGGAAGTGCTTCCCCCGACCCTCCACCACCAACCCTCCTCACCCTCCTATTAAGACCCTGGCCTGGAGGACTCATGCAGAGTCACGCAGTGCCTAGCAGACCAATTAGCTGCTTTCTACTGCGTCGTAGTCCACAAGGCCAAGGCGGCCTGCACAGGCTGCTGCCAGGTGCTGAACAATGGGCAGTGGAACCCTCTGCAGCAAAGGACTTGCAAGGACACCATTGTCGGCTGCAGCTGTGGGTGCTCTCCCAGCACTGCAGAAGCACTACAGCCGGCTGAGCACAGAGTCTCACCTGGGGACCTGCGGGCTTGGGAGCCAAGTGGCCCAGGAAGCAGCTGCTCTGGCTCCTGCTGCGCTGGAAGGCCGCTGCCAGGCTCTGTGTCCAGGGACTCAGCGCCTCCTCCCCCACGGGCAGCTTGGGCCCTCCAGTGAGTACTTTCTGGCAGCCAAGGCGGCCTCTTCTCGCGTAGATCCCTATGCTTGGTAAATATTCCGTGGGTAACAATTTACTGACTCAGTTTACCTTTACCTGAAATCAGGGCCTTTGCCATCCTTGATATGTTATTGGCCGTTTCTACTTCTGTGAAGTGCCTGTTCATATCCTCCATGTATTTCCATCCCGGAATGTTTGTCTTTTTTTGTTTGGTTTTGTAAGGTTTCTCACTCTACAATGATTACCAACCTTTATCAGTTATACGTGTTACCGAGTAGATCTGAGGAAAATTAAGCTTATATGCATGATTTAACATTATTACCTACAATGACAATGTGTTAGTTCTGTTTTTCCTTTGGAATGATTTTAAATAT